ATTCATATTTAAGTTTGAAGTTCAGACGTTCTTGTCAGCTTGCCAATGCCTAAGTGGCCCGATGATGGAGATATCAATGATCATTCAAAAGTCTAGACCAAACGAAAAACCAATCTCATTTCAATGGTCTAACATTTTTCTACTCCCAACAAACCGACTGACTTTCCGCTATAATTGCAAGCTTATACAGAAAGAAGAACCCATAAGTTAAAGTAGACTTGAAAAAAAACTGCGACTACGAAAACAAAAAAAAACCAAAGTTTAAGCTTGGATAAACATCTATAATTTTCACCACAACTTAATTAATCAGTCTCTTAATAAGACTGATTAACAGCCAAAAACAGCATTAAATTATGCGAATCTTATTTCCAGTAATTTTGTGAATCAACACTCTCGTCTACACCAAAGACTCGTAAATTAGAGATATGAAACTCTTTAGAAACATCACAGTTCTATTTTTTAGCGAAGCAAAAAGAATGCAAAATTTTTAGCGACTTTGCAGTCGGTGAACAAAGGCAAAAATAAAACTTCCAACAAAAACTATTTCAACTGAAGCCTTTTTAACACCGCACAATTTAAAAAAAAACATATTCGAGCAGTTCTCCATCAAAATTTGTTGAACGAACCGTTCAATCTTTTAAAACCTACGTTTACTTCATTTGATAACTTTGCGAAGCAAAAAAGAAAAATGAAGTCAGAATGCTTTTATGTTATACTATTTCCAAAAAATATTTCGGTAACTAAAACTATAAAAAGAACCTTCTCTCCTCAGTCAATGTTGATTCAAAGTAAAAAATTAATTCTCAGTTGCAAAATGAAGTCATATGGATACCACATAAAATAAACAGACGAATACCACATTTTGCTCCATATTTAATGTTTTCAAAAAAATTCCAAATAACAACACAGGCAAAGAAAGTTACATAATATATTCATAAACCTACGCATTGCATATCTGACGACTTTTAAACGCGAAAAAATATATACAAATATTTATTTATTTATTTATTTACTTATATTCATATTTACATTTATATATAAACGGGTATGCTACTTCTTAACAGCAAAATTACGAAGTTAAAACAACTTTTTCGAAAGACACTGCCTCTCCTATTACAAAAACTAATGGTTCGAAACGTGACCCATTATGTCGCAGCTTTTTGCGTACCTTTTCTCCTCCCATCTTAGATGATTACTAACTCTGTACACCCACTGAAAACCAACGCTATGATACGTTATGCACAATATTTAACCGAAAAAGCCGGCTTCAAGAAAAACAACAGATAGAGGAGCAGACCAATGCAACTGCCTTGTCAATTTTGAGACTCAAAAAAAAATTTGCAGATTGAACGCTGAGAGAGTTATAAATCAACTTTAGTATTAAAAGCCATTCCCAAAGACCAGTCTTTTATTTGTTTTCTTTAAGAATCCTCAACAAAATAACAACGATAACAAATTGAAAAACCCAATTTTGAAACACTGTTGCGACCTAAAGGGAGCAACAAAACTATCGAACAAACAAAAACAACTACAATAACTAGTCTTTTTCACTGGTCCTGAAACTGAAATACTAACTGCTAAGCAAGGCTATGGGAAACGTATGAAAGAGGCTATGCTGATAAACTGTCAAAAGTATTTAACTAACCTTATTAAATCAAAGAAAAAAAAAGACATATTTCTCGCACTACACCAAAATACAAGGAACCTGAAGACAAAAAAGAAATCTCGTTTTATCAAAGAAAGGAGCATATCGAAAGACCGAAGGTTAAACAAATTAAACATATT